AAGAACACAAAGAGCTGGACAGCACCTGGCCCAGACATGATCCACACCTACTGGCTAAAGAAACTAACTGCAGTGTATGAATGCCTAGCAGCACAGATGAACCAGCTGCTAGCAGCAGGCTCCGACCCAGACTGCGTAGCACAAGGAAGGACAGTGCTGATCATGAAACCCCCCCCACAAGGGAACAGCACCGTCCAACTACCAGCCAATAATCTGCCTCCCCACAACATGGAAAGTCATATCAGGCACCATAGCCACCAAGCTACAGAACCATATGGGCCAGTACATGAGCACAGCTCAGAAGGGCATTGGGAACAACACCAGAGGCTCAAAACAGCAGTTCCTCATAGATAAAGCAGTCACCCAAGACTCAAGGTCTAGACAGACCAATCTGAGCATAGCCTGGATTGACTACTGGAAAGCCTATGATGCAATGCCACACACATGGATCTGTGAATGCCTGGCACTATACAAAGTCAACAGGACACTAAGGACCTTCCTTAAGAATTCAGTGGGACTGTGGAAGACTGATGTGAAGACCCGGAAGCTCCTCACAATGTATGGAGGTTTCCACCCCAAGTTCAGCACCCAGAGACTGTACACCAGCCAGAAAGAGGTGGAAGGGGTCTGGTGAGTGTCAAAACCACTGTCCTGGATGAAACCCACAGCATCCAAGAGTACATCAGTAAGATGGCACCCACAGATCAGCTGCTGAGAGAAGGGGAGGACATTCAAACAGAGAAAGTGCCATGGCAAAACAAGAACCTGCCTGGGATGTACCATCAACAGATAGCTGAGGTGGCTGACACTGGGAAATCCTACCAGGGGCTGGAAAGGGCTGGACTAAAAGACAGCACTGAGCCACTGATCATAGCAACACAAGAACAGGCACTAAGCACTAGATCCATAGAAGCAGAGGTCTAGCACACTAGACAGGATCCAAGGTGCATATTGTACAGAGAGGCCTCAGAAACACTCCAACACATAGTGGCAGGGTGTAAGATGCAGGCAGGAACAGCATACACTGAACGGCACAATCAAGTAGCTGGCATTGTGTACAGGAACATCTGCACAGTATATGGGCTAGACTCTCCCAAGTCCAGATGGGAGATTCCATGAAGGTCATGGGGGATAAGAGTTAAGATCCTATGGTACTTCCAGATCCAGACAGACAGGCAGGTACTGGCCAATCAGCCAGACACTGTGGTAGCAGAAAAGGACCAGAAGACAGCGGTGGTGATAGATGTAGTGATGCCAAGTGACGGCAACGTCAGGAAGAAGTATGAGAAGCTGGAGAAGTATCAGGGCCTGAAGGAGGAACTAGAGAGGATGTGGAAGGTAAAGGCCAAAGTGGTCCCAGTCGTGATAGGAGCACTGGGGGCTGTGATTCCTAAGCTGGGAGAGTGGCTCCAACAGATCCCAGGAACAACATCAGAGCTCTCTGTCCAGAAGAGCGCAGGGCTAGGAACAGCTAAGCTACTGCGCAGAGCCCTCAAACTCCCAGGCGTCTGGTAGAGGACCCAAGATTGAAGATGACACATCCCACCCATAGGGGTGAGAGGGGATTTTGTTTTTTATAAAGCCAATAAGCAAGATGTTTATTATTTAGGTTAGCAATATTTATAGCCCACCCATTCCTGGTGGATTCCAGGCAGGGTAAAACAAAGTCCAGAAAATATACATTAAAACAGATATAATTAATAACAACACAAGAAAAACAAACAAAACAGATATTTCAAAGGTGCGATTCACTTAACCTGCTGGAATGGTGCTGCTTTAGCTTGTTTTTGAATAAAATGGCTGTAGAGTAAGGGGTCACCCATGCTCTCAAGGGCATAATACTTCATAAAATGGGAGTTACCACCATGAGGGTCTATCACTGGCCAACATCTGATGAACACTGAGGAAGGGAAATCATAATGGGCCTTCTCTAAATTACTAAACTGGACAGGCTGATTTGATTTTGTCAATACATTGCCCAAGTATCCTTTAAAGGTGATAGCCAGTGGAGTAGCCCATTTTCTTCATATTCTCCATCTACCATTATTAAGGACCATAATGCTCCTGATACTAAAAATGGGATTTATTAGCATTATACTCCATGAATTTACTTAATACCATTTTTAATCAGTCCAGATTAATGATTCATATATTATAGTAAGGATTTAACTGTTGAAGAAATTTGTTCTGAATCTCCCACAATTCAGCTTTATCGAAAGCTTCTTTATATGACTCTCGTATTCTAGCATCTCTGTATAGTAAAGAAAAACAGTATTTCTTCTTCCCAATACTTGCATAATTTTATACATGCATACAGTTACATTATAGGTGAATTGTTTCTGATTACAGATTATTTTAGAAGCCTTTTTCAGCTCTACAAATGCCTTTCTGAGGAAAGGAGGAACAGAAACCCGAACTGTATACCAAATCAAATACTTTTGTTATGCTGTATTTCGGACCCACATGATTTAGTGCTTTACAATATTCGTTCCTAGTATAAACAGAATTCAGTCTGTTGAGGCTGAAAATATATGCAAAATTCTGCAGAACATGGCTGTAATAAGATGGATTTCATCACTTCAGTCTACAGGTGGGAGCTACCATTTAAATGGCCATTTGAAGGAAAATTACTGTAGTTGCAAATAGAAAAGTAACAGATTAAAGAGAAAGGTTTTTCCCCAGTCTTTTTTTCCCTTTCTTACGCTAGTTTTCAATTTGGAGAATCATCTTCTTAAATATAAGCCAATAATAAGAATTTTGATTCATTCCTTTCATTCTGAAATGGTACAGTCCATGTGACTACTTAGCTACCATGTCATTGTGGCTAATTTGCATAAATAGTACTTTTGTGGGTGGTGTCAACCTGGGCCTTCTTCCAGCCCAATGGGATTTTGGAAGAAATTATGTCAAGAAGCTTGGGACTATCAGCAGGATAGTACTTTGAAAACTGAACTGAATGGGACAAAAACTGGTGTGAAGGGAGAAGCTGGCAAAAGAAAGACTGAGTTTGAAAATCGGACAGATCAGGTTAGGGGCTGGGGAGAAAAATATTCCAGAATGAAATCCCTTAATGCATCTCAATAATTAGAATATTACTGATTATTATGCTCTGATCTCCTACACCCTGCAGGCTATATAGAGTTGTGACTGAAGAACAAATATAGCCTGCCCTGAGTTGCCCAGTCCATACATACATACAAAGAGATATAGATGAAACATGAGGGGAGAGCAGAAACATGCCACATGTTCTTTCATTACACATAACAAAATACAGATGTCTGTTATGGCCACTGGTACTAAATGAGGTGGAAAGATTTCTAGAAACCATACTATGCACATTTTCCCTACCTTTTAAACATTTATGGAAGGAACTCACATGACAGAAGCCTACATATAGGTACAAATTAAACATTTTAAGGGGATGACTATGCTAGAATTGTCTTTGACAGCTAGTTTCTTTTCTGGAGGACATTTTTTAAATGGAACAAGATTCTCTCAAGGAGGATATCCAGACTGTTGGAAGACCTGAAAGGCCTGGCTGGGGACAGATCATCCTGGAAAAGATGCCAGCCCTTTGAGATAGGCCAGGTCAGGAAACAAACCCCTCAGGAAATACTAGAACTCTAGTTATATAGGCTGAACTAACAGAATCTTGAAAGCCTGATGGTGTTTCGCTTTCTTTCTCTTTTATATCAAAGAGGGTCAAGGTGGGGCAACTTTAAGTTTCTTTCTTACACTTTCTTGAAGTTTCATGGCCTACTCTGACATTTTAAGGACAATACTGCATCTTAAATAAGTCAGTCTACATACAGGTTAATTATTGCTTCTGTTTTTTGACAACAGCTAGTCCTCAGTTGTGTACATATTGATTCTTTTCAGGTAGATGAGATACTGAGTTGTAAGTCAATTTGTAGTGTTTTTTAGTTTTGCTGTTTGGCACATGAATGCCTATGATTACATTTTCATGGGACCTGAAGACCTTTTCTCTATTTAAATTCTTTATTTAAGTGAAAATATCTATATGAAAGAGAATATATGACAAGAGGGTATGAGTTTAAATACATATGTACAAATCTTGGCTAGCTAACTCTTCCTTCAGTGTTAAATATAATAAGCAACTGAGTTTGAATATAATTTTCTTTTATTTAGACATTTCTTACTGAATTAGGAAATAGTATAATAGTGGGCATCATAATCTCCAGAATATATAAGTAATAAACAAAGGTGAAAAATGGTAAAATAATGTTAAATAATTCATTCTTACTTCAGTGTATTTGCAACAAGAGGGACAGAAATTACAATGTATGTACATCTAAAATCTGTCTCCAAGAAAGCAAGCTGAATACTGCACTCATTCGTTTATGCTATAGTAACAACATGTAAATGTTGAAAGGGTAGAAAAACTAAAATATTCACTAAGTGTTGAATCTAACACTAAGTTCACTTCTGCCATATCCCTCAGTGACATAAGTTTCCATTTTGAGGAGGGGGGTGGAATCAGCCACCGAAATGTGAACAGCTTAAAGCCATTACTCTCTCACGATTTTATATTGTAGATGTAATAATTTGCTTAGTTTCCCAAGCTTTTTTATATTTTTCTCACTTTGATTACAATTTGTACTAAACGTGTGCCTCCATGGGGACCTATAGTCAGCCAACATTTACAAAAGCTGCAGAGCATTCCTTTGGCTTTGAATGCATCAAACATTTTTAAGTAAGTTTACAAACGTATTAAGAAGCTCCACGTCCCTCCATTTTCTGCACTGCTTCTCCTGGCCCCCTTTCCCTCACTCCCAGCCCCCGATCTTTCTCTTGCTGGCTTCTTTCCCCTTCCCTCCTCCTTCACCAGTTAGCAGCACAAATTTCTGTTTGTGCCAGTGGGGTGGCCTGGCGAGACCGCAATTGCTCTACTTCACAGATTGACGAGCCCTCAGATGCCGATTTACTGTACATGGCAGCCACTCTGGAGCCGAGGCACATCTGGAGTGGAGTAAACTTACCGAGAAACAGGGGCCAGCTTTAACTGGAGCCAGTGGAACTGAGAGCAGCCGATGAAAAGCAGCCTTCCCGCCTTCTCCTTCCCCTCATCCCCGGGTAGATTTCCTAATGTAAACAGAGCTGAAGGGGGGATGAACACAGTAACTCTTTGCAGAATGTTTGTTGTTTAATGTTCTTTATCTACTTGAGGTCAGAATAGAGCCTTAGAAAAACAGAAGCACTGCTTTTCATCTAAATAACTAAAAGCCTACATATTACTGTAGGTTTAAAAAAAAAAATTAAATAAAATGGAAAAGAATGGCATTTAGTGTTTATTTGTTCTGTTTTATTATTATTTAGTGGCTAATTTCATCATCTGGAGCTAAATTAGAAGCAAGCTCTTTGTGCTAAAATTCTCAGCTTTTTTTTTTAATATACAGAACACTTCAAACCACAAACAGCATGCAGTTTCTGTTTATAGCTCTATTGTGTTAATGGGATGGCTAAATAGATGCACAGATCCACCATACAAAGTAAAAATGTGGGGCTTTCTCATAAAAGATTACACAGGTTAACCCCCCCCCCCCCAATATTTCCATGCTTTGTTTTACTAATTGGCAAGCAGCTTATATATTCTTGTGGCAAAAGCTGATTGATTTTTTTTCAGGATTCTGCTATTTGCCAACAAATATAAGTTTTTTAAAAACTAGATTTAATGTAGAATGGGGAATTAGGTATTGTTTTATAGGTAAAGCTAGGCAAATAAAATATGGGAGCTGTGGACAAAAAAAAAAAGGAATTGTAATAGGGGTTTCATACTTCAGAATTATTATAACTACTTGGGTGGAATTTTTGAAATACTAACCCATTAAAGATAATATTAAAACATGCATAGTCAGAATATGCACTCCAGATTTTTGGATTTCAGCTCTTATTAGCTCCAGACAGCGTGGCTCATGGCAGATAATTATGGAATTGTAGTCTAAAACATCTGAAGGATACATTACATTGACTGTATTAGGGAGGCCTACAAAGCACACGAATATCCTCACCAGCATTTAGGAATTTCTTTTCTGTATGGGCCAGTTGCCTTCATATCTTACACTGAAAGAAAAAGTTAATTCAGAATCCCACAAGGATGTGTACAGGCTCAGAGATGTCCATACACTTGAAAGAGCTGCATACTCTATGAGCTTATACACTTGCTAAATAAACGATAGGTACTAGCAACACCAGCCCAATTAATGTGTATATTTAGTTTCTCCCCAACTTTGGGACAGTCCTTTTAGAACAATGAGGCAAAATAAATAACTTTGCTAAAGTTTACTTACTTTACTTCCTTCCCTGGTAAGAAAAAACACTAAAGTGCCAGAAAACAAAGACCACTGATAAAGATAGGAGTAGGAGTAGTTACGAGTTGGAATAATTAAGAAGTACTCTATACTATACCAGCAGGTATAATGCCATACATATCCAGTCTCATGTTGGGTTTATGCCTAGGTAAATTTAATATTTAATCTGGAAAAGTATGTGTTAAATGCTTATATGGCAAGATTCTTGGTAATCAAACACAGGATGAAGAAATAAATATCAAGAATAATTTTATATATTAAATAAAATAGATTAGATAAGTATCTTAGCTTGGTCATTTATTAGACCAAATATCTTCCTAGGAACTCCTTTGTATGTTTACTTACCTGCTATAAATACCTTTCTAGCAGAATTTGTAACTCTAAAAAGGAAATTAAATTATGTGGCTCCTGATTTGTGGGGTTATATGAAGATTTGCCCAGCTGAAGCATAGTATTGATTGATTAGCTGATATAATTTTCTCTTCCTTTAGTTTATACTCTGAAAAGTTCATTTGGGCTTCCCCCTAAAGCCCAGGCATTCCAGGGAGTCTACATTGAGGAGAAATATTTTTTGTTCATAAATTACAGACCATTTTTTTATATGTAAGTAGATTTATTACATATTTTCAAACCTAAACCGTAGGTTTAGTCTGCTACAGGTCTCCTTTTTTTATTTTGGCCAGAAGATTTCCTCCTTATATGAATGATACTTGCGAAGAATCTGGAGAATAGCCATTTATAGTTCCTTTTCTTTGAGCAGGCAGTTCAGAAATGATATAATGCATGTAACATAAAAGGTTGAACAGGAAAACTGTAAGACAAAAATAGTAGAGACAGGCAATCATGATTATTCCATACGGATGAATATAGAAGAACGGTCATTCTGAAAAGCTTGTGTCAGCCATTCAGGAACAGATACTTAATTTCTGTTCCAGACACATGATATGGAAATACTGCAACATCACAGACACTGTGGAGCCATTGCTTTAGAAATGTATGAAACCGCTATCTGAATTTAGTGTAAGACTTCCAATCTGTGAAATGTTTTAAGTATAGTTTTAACTCAGCAAGTGTACAAAAATTATATGTATTCACATTAGTCTTGAGGCTTAAAGCCAAGGAACTTCTAAGTTACTTTGTGGAACATATCCCCAGTATTGAAGTGAGCAGATTTGTTCTGGACTGAAAAGGTTTTCAATATTATTTATTCCTATGGCAAGAAATTATGTAAATGCAGCTATCCATAGGAAGGGATTTTGAAAATGACATGTAAACCTATCCAAAAGATTGAGAGTAATTGAGATATTTGCTGTTCTAGTGAAATGCTGCACCAGGTTGGTGAGCCCCCTTATTTCACACTCACCAACTGGAGTGATAACTGTTCCACTGAAGATGGGACATTGTGTCATATATCATCCAGAACAGCAAGCTAGATGTAAGACAAGCCAGCAGGGCACAGAGTTTTATTGTTCAATGCATACTGATATGCCCCAAGACTTTCTGCCACTTGAAGTGATTGCCCCATTCTGTTTCAGCTGTGTTAAAGTCGTGAAAAGGGTCCATGTCGGTAACCTATGATAGATTGTATCACAGCAGGTGTTTCTGTTTCAAAGGGCCATTCCCATACACATGCATACATTCCCCAGCACCAATGGATACATTGGAAACTTATGATGGAAATTTATAAAATTTATAACCATGGAGGGGCAATAGACTTCTCTTTGATACCCATCTAAGGTCCTGGACTGATTTCTATCCTCTTAATAGTCAGTCACCCTGGTTATTATGGTGATTTTTCTTTCCCAGCTATCCTTCTTGCTTACGTGTAAGGGATTTTGGGACTTTTCTTCAGAAAAGATGTTACACAGAGAAGCACAAATGTCTCTGTTTTTCAAATATAAGCCTCAGTAATAGTGAACTGCCTGGGCAAGCAATTCTCTGTAAAATGTTGCTCGTTTTACTGGAACTTTGCTTCTGATTGGCTCCAGCCAGACTCAAAAGTTCTAATGTACATCATGACAAGGCTATAGGCCTCCATAAATATTCCCAGTCATGGATTTAGTCCCAATTTTGTTCCTAATGTTAATGAGCTGGCAGCTTTAACTAGGCCTCTTGCATCTCTGAATTCCAATAAGGTTTACTCCCCCCCCCATCTCCCATGCAGCAGTTATCTTATCTCACATCTGAGATCAAGTATTTTATCTTTAAAATTATTAAATGTTCTCTGGAAATTAAACAAACAAGTTAATAATTCTTCTGAACACATCAAAAAGAAATTTGAGTAGAAACAATTTATCCTCTGCAATACAACTATCGGTATACATTTTATTTATTTGTCACATTTATATAGCCACCCATCTCACACAAAGTGACGGTAAATGGTAAACGCTTCCAATATAACTGGGCTGTAATCCTATGTACACTTGTCAGTACATAAGTCAGTGGGACTTATTTCTGAGTAGACGTGCATAGGATTGATTTCTATAATTTAGTTTGTCAGGCTGGTTTGCAGTAAAAAAAATTGGACTATATTTGTCAATTGTAAATAGCATCTTAAAACAAAACAAACCAGACAAGTAATATTTTTCCCAACAAAAATGTATACTTATTGCATAAATTCAGAGTATAATTCCATTCCAAATATAAAATTATCCAAAAATAAAACCACAGTTTAGAATAAGCACAAACTAAAAGAAATTGAGAGATCTAGAAAAAAGACAAAAACTTTAGGAAAGGAAACCACAAAAATGGAGAAAAATGGCAAAGATTAAATAATCTGCTGAGTAAGCAAAGAAGGCTGCAAAGTACAAATAGATGAAAAGAAAGAATAAAAATACCACAAGTTAACTGTCCAATGTCAGATGTAATAATCCCTTTTAGATGAGTCATATTCTATGCTCTTATTAACTAAAATCAGGCTTGGAATAGTAAGGGTGATTCTGTGGTGGAATAAGACTATGATTCCTGGAAATTAATAGGGAAAAACTGCACAACTATTACTGGGTGTGTTCTGTTTATAACCCTGCGTGTTTTCATCTATATGGCCAGATTCTTCAACAAGAAATCTTTTCAAAGAGTATGGCACACCCATATTAGATTTACATACATGTTTCATTAATTTGGGGAATAGCTACTTCTAAATAGAAAAGTATTAACATAAAGAATCACAAACAATGGAGAAAATAAATTCAATTTTTTGACATTCAAAAGTTATACAAGTTTATTTTATATACAAACACATATTATGTTGGACAGTAATGATATTGTTAATATAGACATCTCTCCTGTATTCAGTGTAATAATCTTATTTTAGAGAAAGATAGAGAATGGGAATAAAGCATTTTGCCAAAGTAGGAGTGAAAGGAGGTGCCACTATGAAGTGACAACCATGCCACCAAGGAAGCTTGAATGCCAGGTAAAAATAGGAGCCAAAGGCAAAGCTGATAAATTTAGAGAGAAAGAAGAAATAATTAACTATGAGTAGATATGCTTCTGAGTGGACCATTGAGAATTATAGAAATAAACTGCAAGTAGGTTCTCAGCTTTCGAATATAAATTTAAATGAATTCAATCACCTCAAATCCATTTAGACATAATCAAGGATTACATTGTATAGAAAGAACCAAAACCCTTTCCAATACAAGTCCTGGCAACAGTAAAGAAAAGATCTGCCTGAGAGTTAACCATTGTTAGGGAATCCCCAGAGCTGTAATTGTTTAGTTAAAAGATGAAACTTAGAACTAAGGC